TTCTGGATATTAATCTTTACGTTGTCATTTAGTAAGCAAAGTAAAGCTAGCTCATTATGTCTTGGGGGGGAAAATGTTGCAGTCTGTAAATATATTAAAAGAGTTTAACCTCAAACTAAATCCCACTCTGACCACACATGGGATAGTTCTGTAGTTAAGAACACAGGGCTGGGCATGGTGGCTCATGTCTGTGTAATCCCAGCACTTTGAGAGGCCGAGGCAGGTGGATCACCTGAGGTCAGAAGTTCAAGACCAGCCTGACCAATATGGAGAAACCCCATCTCTACTAAAAATAAAAAATTAGCTGGTTGTGGTGGCGCATGCCTGTAATCCCAGCTACTCAGGAGGCTGAGACAGGAGAATGGCTTGAACCCAGGAGGCAGAGGTTGTGGCGAGCCAAGATCGTGTCATTGCACTTCAGCCTGGCACACAGAAGCTGGTGGACTTGGGCAAGTTACATAACTGTTCTATACTTCAGTCTTTTCATCTATAAAAGTAAGATAAAAATAGTACCTACACCTCATAGGGCTGCTACAAAGATTAAATGAGCTGAGGTAATACGTGTGTCCACTTAGCCAGAGCTGGTGTTTCTATACTTAGAACAAGCGGATTGGGATTTGTTTCAATCATGTGTCGTAAGACACACAAACACAGAAATGATTACCATGAAAGCAGAAGTCTTTGCTCACAAATCTCTAGAAATAGCATGATGGCATGCCACGCAAGGCCACGTTGGGCAGCACCAGAATCAAAGGCAGAGGGGAAAGGAGGAAAAACGTGGACAAGAGCCTTTGCTGCTATTCCCTGCAAAGGAATGGTCAAGGCAGGGTAAACAGATTAGGACCAGTTAGTTTGAATAATTTCATGGGCTCTGGGGGATAGGAGCTGTACCTAGTTTTCCACTACCTAATGATGGGGCAATTAGGACAGGGGAATAGTAGCCCAGACTGTAAGAGCCTGATAAAGTAGATGGCTGTGAGGTACGGGCTCTGAATTGTTGGTCTGCAATATGAAAAGCAGACTCTTGTGAGCAGTGGCTCGCCCCTGTAATCCTAGCACTTTGGGAGGCAAACAAAGGCAGATCACCTAAGGTCAAGAGTTCAAGACAAGCCTGGCCAGCATGGCAAAACCCCATCTCTACTAAAAATACAAAAAAATTAGCCGGGCAGGGTGATGGCCACCTGCAATCCCAGTTACTCAGGAGGCTGAGGCACAAGAATTGCTTGGACCCAGGGGTGGAAGTCACAATGAGCCAAGATCACGCCACTATATTCCAGCCTGGATGACAGAGTGAGACTCCATCTAAAAAAAAAAAAAAGGCACACTCCCAAAAGAGCTGCTACCTATCTCTAGGAATTAGTTGACCCTGGGAGGAGCAGTCTCTCCAATGCCAGCAAAACCTCAAGATGTGAAAGCACCAGAAAATACAGAAAATAAAAAATGGGATTAATCCAATACTCTAGCTATATTCCCTTGGGGATCTCAACCAGTATCATGGCTGTAAATACCACCCACACATTGATGACACAGAGACGTGTATCTGCTGTTCAGACCTGTCCTCTGACTGGAGCTTGCTGATTCCAACTGCCTCTGTGACATCAATTACTCCAATATCCAACAGGCTCTTCAAACTTAGCCTGACTTTCCCCCTACTCCCACCACCACCAAACCTATTCTTCCCACAGTCTTCCCCATCTTAGGAAATGGCAACGCTAAACTTGGAGTTTTTTAGGCCATAAATCATGATGTCAGCCTTGACATTTCATCGAAAACAGGGACTAAAATTACCTTCCCATCTGAAAAAAACTGGACAACACATATAAAACAACAGTTTTCAAGATACTGGACATTAGACAAGGAAGAACAAGTGATCCCTGAGAGATGAAAAAGAAACAAGGTGAACATGATGAATGCCCTAGTTCACTGCATTGGCACTTTCCAGGCTGACGTGGCAGGGAGGGGAAGCCAGTCAGTGACCAGAAGACTCCTTGAGATGAGGAGATGGAGCTGACAGTCCAGAAAGAGTTCAAAGGACAGAGCAGTGAAGAGAAAAGTGTAAAAGAAAGAACACTAAAGATATGCAGAGAGCCCACCTCATATACAGCTGAGTACTAATCAGCACATGCATATCCAAAAATTGCCTGAGTCCAGGAAAAGAACCCAAAAAGAGTACGATTCATAGGGCCTATTTCCACCAGCCAAACTGAAAAAAGTCTCATAATCCAAGGGACATTTGTTGCAATACCCAGAAAGCCTTGCATCAGTAATGATATATATCCAAAAACAAATACTGTTCCATTGCCATTTAACAAATATTCAAAGCAAGATCTTAAAAAAAGCAAATTACTTCTTTTTTTTTTTTTTTTTTGAGATGGAGTTTCGCTCTTGTTGCCCAGGCTGGAGTGCAATGGCGCGATCTCGGCTCACCGCAACCTCCGCCTCCTGGGTTCAGGCAATTCTCCTGCCTCAGCCTCCTGAGTAGCTGGGACTACAGGCACGCGCCACCACGCCCAGCTAATTTTTTTGTATTTTTAGTAGAGACAGGGTTTCACCATGTTGACCAGGATGGTCTCGATCTCTTGACCTCGTGATCCACCCGCCTTGACCTCCCAAAGTGCTGGGATTACAGGCTTGGGCCACCGTGCCCGGCCTAAAGCAAATTACTTCTAAGTAACTTAACAGTGTCCCAGAACAAAGCTCAAAATGTATAAGAATACAAAAATATCTACCACCCTAAAAATAGAAGCACAATGCTGTGCACGGCAGCTCTCACCTGTAATCCCAGCAATTCGGGAGGCCGACTGGTTTTGAGCTCAGGAGTTCAAAACCAGTCTGGGCAACATGCCAAAATCCCATCTCTACAAAAAACACAAAAACGACCTACACAGCGGCGTGTGCCTGAAGTCCCAGCTATTTGGGGGGCGGAGGCAGCCCAGGAGACAGAGGCAATAGTGAGCCAAGATATGGACGGCATAAACGAGACAGAAAGTGAACTCTATCAAACTTCTAGATATTAAAAATGTAACGCATGAGATGAAAAGCACAAGAGATGAGCTTAATGGCAGATCAGACATTGCAGAGCAAAAAATAATAATAATAATAATAAGGACAGGCATGATGTCTCACGCCTGTAATCCCAGCACTTTAGGAGGCTAAGGGGGATGATTGCCTGAGCCGGAGATTTCGAGACTAGCCTAGGCAACACAGCAAGATCCTGTCTCTAAAAAATTAAAACATAAAAAAAGATTGGGCCGAGCACAGTGGCTCACGCTGGTAATCCCAATACTTTGGGAGGCCAAGGCAGGTGGATCAACTGAGGTTAGAAGTTCAAGACCAGCCTGACCAACATGGTGGTGAAACCCTGTCTCTTCTAAATACAAAAAATCAGCCAGGATGGTGGTGCGCATCTGTAATCCCAGCTCTTCAGGAGGCTGAGGCAGGAGGATTGCTTGAACCCAGAAGCCAGAGGTTGCAACGAGCCTAGATTGTGCCATTGCACTCCAGCCTTGGCAACAAGAGCAAAACAACTTCTCAGAAAAAAAAAAAAAAAAAAAAAAAAAAAAAAAAAAAAAAAAAAAAAAAAAAAAGATTAGTGACCATGAAAACCTGGCAATAGAATCTATTCAGAATGAAACACATAGAAGTAAAAATAATTTTTTTACTGAAAAGAACATCAGTGAAGTGTGGAACAAATTCAACCCGTCTAGCAAATATATAGTTGAAGACCCCAAAGGAGAAGAGATGTGGTACAAAATACATATATAAGATATATTTAAAGATATAATGGCTGAAATTTTTTCAAATTTGATTTTCTTTTTTTCTTTTTTTTTTTGAGACGGTCTCGTTCTGTTGCCCAGGCTGGAGTGTAATGGCACAATCTCGGCTCACTGCAACCTCCGCCTCCTGGGTTCAAGCAGTTCTCCTGTCTCAGCATCCCAAGTAGCTGGGATTACAGGTGCCCACCACTGCATCTGGCTAATTTTTGTATTTTAGTAGAGACAGTGTTTTACCATGTTGACCAGGCTGGTCTTGAACTCTTGACCTCAGGTGATCTGCCAGCTTTGGCCTCCCAAAGTGCTGGGATTACAGGCATGGGCCAGACAGCATACCCAGCAAATTTAATTTAATTTTTTTTTTTAAACAGAGTCTCACTTTGTTGCTCAGGCTGGAATGCAGTGGTGTGATCTCAGTTCACTGCAAACTCCATCTCCCCAGTTCAAGCTATTCTCCTGCCTCACCCTCCCGAGTAGCTGTGATTACAGGTACACACCATCATGCCCAGCTAACTTTTGTATTTTTAGTAGAGATGGCATTTCACCTTGTTGGTCAGGCTGGTTTTGAACTCCTGACCTCATGATCCACCTGTCTCAGCCTCCCAAAGTGCTGGAATTACAGGCATGAGCCACCACACCCAGCCAAATTTAATTTTTTTTTAATGTATAAACTAATAAATCCAAGGACCTCAACAAGGCCCAAGCACAAGCAACATGAAGAAAGCTACATAACTTTTTTAAACAATTTATACAGAGAAAAAAGATACAGACAAAAGAATAAAGATAAAAATGACAGCAGATTTTTCGCTGGAAACAATACAAGCAGAAGTTAGTATATAGCTACATCTCTGAAAACAAAGAATTCTATACCCAGCAAAGAAAATCTTCCAAAAATAAAGGTAAAAAACCTTTGCAGACATAGGAAAACTAATAGATTTCATATCCTGCACTACAAGAGACGTTAAAGAATCTTCATCCAGCAGAAGAGAAATGAAAACAGATAAATATATGCATCTATATAAGGGAACAAAGAGACCAGAAATAGCAAGTTTCTGAGCAAATACACAAGAATTTTTTTAATATTTATCTCTTTAAAGGATAAATGATCTGAGTGGGCCAAAAAAAAAGAAAAGATAAATAATTGCTTAAGCAAAAGCAGTAACAATGTACTGTGGTGTTTATAACATAAAAGCATGTATTACATCAATAGCATAAAACTTGAGAAGAAGCGCTGTGCAGTGGCAGTATCGTAGCCAATGAGGATTATCCGAGGCGCAATTATTGCTAATTGAAAATTTTTCCCAATACCCTGCCATGATGACTTGAAACATAGTTAGCAATTTTTGGCAGTCTCTACGGGGACTGAATCATTTAAAAAAAAAAAAAAAAAAAAAAAAAAAAAAAAAACCTTGAGAAGAAATGGAAGTATATGATTTTAAGATTCTTATACTCTGTGAAGTACTATAATATCACTTAAATATAGACAAGATATATACTATAAACTAAAGCAATCATTAAATTAACAAAAAGCCAACAAAGGAGGTAAAATGCAACCATGAAAAATACTCAATTCAAAAGAAGGCATAAGAAAGGAAACAAGAGTAGGGCAAATAGAACAAATAGAAAACAAATAGCTAGATCAAAGACATAAATCCAACCTTATCAATTATCCCTAAACACCCTACTTAACAGTGAGGTTGTCAAACTCATCTTAAAAAGAACCAAATATGGCCGGGCGCAGTAGCTCACACTTTTAATCCTAGCACTTTGAGTAGCCAAGGCAGGAGGATTACCTGAGGTCAGGAGTTCAAAACCAGCCTGGGCAATGTTACTAAAAATATAGTAAAACTCTACTAAAAATATAAAAATATAAAAATTGGCTGGGTGTGGTGGCTCACGCCTGTAATCCCAGCACTTTGGGAGGCCGAGGCGGGTGGATCACAAGGTCAAGAGATCGAGACCATCCTGGTCAACATGGTGAAACCTCGTCTCTACTAAAAATACAAAAAATTGGCTGGGCATGGTGGCACGTGCCTGTAATCCCAGCTACTCAGGGGGCTGAGGCAGGAGAATCGCCTGAACCCAGGAGGCGAAGGTTGCGGTGAGCCGAGACCACGCCATTGCACTCCAGCCTGGGTAACAAGAGCAAAACTCCGTCTGAAAAAAAAAAAAATACAAAAATTAGCCAGGCATAGTGGCAGGAATCTATAATCCTAGCTACCCAGGAGGGTGAGGCAGGAGAATCACTTGAACCTGGGGAGCAGAGGTTGCAGTGAGCCAAGATGGTACTACTTCACTCCAGACTAGGCAAAAGGGTGAAACTCTCTGTCTTAAAAAAAAAAGAAACAAACATATGCTGCCTACAAGAAATGCTCTTCAAATATAAAAACACAAATAGGTTAAATGTATTGAGTTGGTGTAAAAGCAATCGCTGTTTTCATTAAAAGTAACGGCAAAAACAGCAATTATTTTGCACCAACCCAATAGAAGGATGGAAAAAGATCTATCATGCCAATGCTAATCAAAAGAAAGCTGAAACAGCTATATTATAGCAGACAAAATTTATTACAGAGAAAAGATTATCACGGATAAAGAAAATCGTTTCATAACAATAAAGGGATCAATCCATCAAGAGGATATACCATCCTAAACATTTACACATCCAATAACAGAGCTTCGAAATACATGAAGAAAAAAAACTAATGGAACTGCAAAGAGAAACCAAAAAATCCACATTATAGGCAGAGATTTCAGTATCTGTCTCAATATATGATGTAACAGAAAATGAGTAAGGATATAAGAGACTTGAACACTACCAGCTAATTGGCATTTGTAGAACTGACATTCATAGAACACTCTGTCCAACAACAGCAGAACATACATTATTTTCAAGTATAAAAGGAACATTTACCAAGAGACCATATTCTTTTTGTTTGCTTTTTGGGACAAGGTTTTACTGTGTCTCCTAGCCTAAAGTATAGTGACACCATCATTGTTTACTATAGCCTTGAACTCTTGGCCTCAAGGGATTTTCCTGTTTTGGTCTCCCCAGTAGCTGGGACTACAGGCGCACACGACCACACCCAGATAATTTTTTTAAATGTTTTGTAGAGTTGGGGTCTCACTATGCTGCCCAGACTGGTCTCAATATCGTGGCCTCAAGTGATCGTCCTATCTGATCCTCTCAAAGCACTGGGATTACAGGCATGAGCCACCACACACAGCCAAGAGACCACATTCTGTGTCATAAAGCAAATCTCAATAAATGTAAAAGGATCAAAAGATATAAAATATATTCTCTGACCACAATGGAACCAAAGTACGAATCAATAACAAAACCTCTGGAAAATTCCCAAATAGCTGAAAAGTAAGGGCGAGCTCAGTGGTTCATGCCTGTAAACCTAGCACTTAGGGAGGCTGAGGCAGGAGGATCACTTGAGGCCAGGAGTTCAAGACCAGGCTGGGTAACATAGTGAGAGCCCATCTTTACAAAACATAAAAATGAAAAAAATTAGCAAGGCATAGTGACATATGCCTGTAGCCCCAGATACCCAAGTAGCTGAGAGGTGGGAGCACTGCCTGAGCCCAGGAGGTCAATGTTGTAGTGAGCCATCATCATGCCACTGCACTCCAGCCTTGACAACAAAGTGAGACTGTCTCAAAAAAAAAAGGAAAGAAACTAAATAACACAGTTCCAAAGAACTCATGGGGCAAAGAAGAATCAAAAGTAAATTAGAGGCCAGGCATGGTGATTCACGCCTATAATCCCAACACTTTGGGAGGCTGAGGTGGTTGGATCATGAGGTCAAGAGTTCAAGACCAGCCTGGGCAACATGGTGAAACTCCGTCTCCACTAAAAATACAAAAATTAGTCCAGCATGATGGTGCACACCTGTAATCACAGCTACTCGGAAGGCTGAAGCAGAAGAATCATTGCAACCCGGGAGGCGGAGGTTGCAGTGAGCTGAGACCACACCACTGCACTTCAGCCTGGGTGAAAGAGTGAGGAGACTCCATCTCACGCTTTCAAAAAAAAAAAAAAAAAAACCCAGAAGGCAGAGGTTGTAGTGAGCTGAGATTGCACCACTGTACTCCAGCCTGGACAACAAAGCAATACTCCATCTCAAATAATTAATTAATTAATTAAAATAAAATGCATGAAACCTTTCACACACTTATCTCACCTGACCCAGGCAAGAGCCCTTGAGATGAGTACTATCATTCTCCTCATTGCACAGATGCAAGAACTTGGGCTCCAAAAATTAGAAGTCTTGCCAAGGTTACTTAGCCAGTAAATAGTAGATTCAGGGTTTGAAACATTGTCTTCTCCTTGCAAAACATCTGTCTTTCTCTAGACTCTGCCACCCATCCAAACCGTTACACGTTCCTCATGAATTAGAAGAAAAACATCCAGGCCAGCACAGTGGCTCTTGCCTGTAATCCCAGCACTTTGAGAGGCCAGGATGGGAGGACTGCTTGAGGCCAGGAGTTTGAGACCAGCCTGGTCAGCATAACTAGACCCCCCATCTCTATTTATTTTTAAAATTTTTTAAAAGACAAAGAAAAATATCCAGGTGGCCAGTGCCTGCTATGGCGCCCTCAGTATTGTCCTCAGCAGTTCCTCACAATGCCCACCCACCCAAGTCCCCAGCTGAGCCTCAGCTAAGTGTCAGTGGTGGGCCACATGGCCACCATGGCTCTGGCCATGTCTGGCCTCCCGGGAGCTGTCCCAGTAAATCAGCAAACAAACTCTGAGATTAGGAGCAAATCCATGAACACACAGGGGGATCTGGAAGGCCTTGCTGTATAAACAGAGATTGGGAATCATTGGGAGAAGGAGGCCAGGAAGGCCGGCATGCGGTCTCTAACGACGGCAACCAGACCACACTAGAGGACTGTGCAGCCCAACCAGGCAGAGCCAGGAAGAGCAGCACACTGGCCACAGTGGGAAAAGGAAAACGATCTTCAATGATAACCCTTCAAATGTCCTCACTGCCTCACTGCCCCTAGACTGAAGTGAGTTTTTTTCGTTGGTTTGAGATGGAGTCTCACTCATCACCCAGGCTGAAGGGCAGTGGCAGGATCTCAGCTCACTGCCACCTCCACCTCCTGGGTTCAAGCAATTCTTGTGCCTTAGCCTCCCAAGTAGCTGGGATTACAGGTGCCCGCCACCACACCTGGCTGATTTTTGTATTTTCAGTGAAGACGGGGTTTCGTCATGTTGGCCAGGCTGGTCTTGAACGCCTGACCTCAAGTGATTCACCCATCTTGGCCTCCCAAAGTGCTGGGATTACAGGCATGAGCCACCATGCCTGGTCTAGTATGAAGTTTAAACTCCTGACAAGCCCACACGATGCAGCCCAGCTGTCCTGTGGCCTCATCTCTCACCCTCTCCACCTCACTCTCTACCCTCCAGCCACGGTGATCAGCTCTCTCCTGTGCCATCCCCAGGCCCCAGGCCTTTGCATGATACCTCCATAGCCTCACCACACCACTCTCCTTTTCACCTGCCCAAAATCCTCTCAGCCTGGACCCATGCCTACCTCCCCTTACCTCCTCCCGTACTGACCTGACCCATTCTCCACACCATGCCTCTCCCCTCTTACAAGTGATGCTGCTGCCTTCCACAATCCCAGAATCAAGGGCAGATCAAGGAGTTCCTTTCCCCCAGCATGGCTCAAAATCCTCCTTTTGTCTGAGCCTCTCTTGAAGAGGAACGGGGCTTCTGCCCACGCGGCAGCTCCATGGCTATTATCAGCTGTTCTGCTTTGGGTCCACAGAAGAAAAGGCAGGGGAGCAGCCCTAGACATGGTCAGGTTGCAACCAAACGAGGCTGGGAACCAATGAGAGGCCCAGAGCAACAAGGCTTGCCAATGTTGGGGACAATGACTTGACCATTCCCCAGTGGGAAGGCCTCCTTGCCACCAGTCCTCAGCAGGGATCAGCTGGGCAGACCCCAGGAAGATCTCTGTTGGAGGATCCAGAATAGGAGTTTTTCCCAAAAATCAGCTGGGATGTGGCATCACAGATGATACACTCAATGAGAGCCACCACCCTATCACAAGACACCCAGAGAGCCCTCCACATTCCCTTCTTGAATCAGGCAGGGGAAGAATCAAAGCCCCATCACTGCAGGCCTGGCTTCCAGAACAGTCATGGAGTCCGCCTGCTTCACAAGGCTTCCCTGGGTCCTCCTCAGGGTCACCCTAAGGGAACTGTTACCCAGGGTCCTACATGGCTGGACTAAGATGGGGAGAGGGCTGAGGTGGGCAGATCACGAAGTCAGATCGAGACCATCTTGGCCAACATGGTGAAACCCCGTATCTACCAAAAACACAAAAATTAGCTGGGTGTGGTGGCAC